GAAACCCAGGAATAGAAAAGGTAGATGCCTTGACTTTTGTCCCTGTTGGGGGATTAAAGTGTTTATCGCCAGAGTTGTCAAAAGCTCTAGTTACAAAGCATTCAGAGTTTCAAGAAGAAAAAAAAAATGATGCTTTTTCTCTTGGAGAACTTTTAAGTTCTCCACCATGGCTTAGATTTTCCAAAATGGAAAGCAAAGCTTGTATAAAATCCATTTTCACTAGAGATATACAATTGAGTATAGTCATTTCAGTCTATTTCCCTTTCCTTATTTCCTCTTTGGTCACTGATTGAGTCAGGCTGGAGGGGTAAGCTATGATTGCAAGAAGTGAATTTTCACTGTAAACTTGGATTGATTAACAGAAACAATAAAACCAAACAAAATAGTTGCCCCTAACTCCTATCTCCAAGAATTGCTTTGTGCCATTTTGAATTCAGGTAGTTATTCTGTATATACTTAGAAGACTGTTCTGAGCTTCTTCAATCTCTAGGAAGTTCAAAAGGGGTATGTGGGAAGACACAGGGCAGGGTGATTTTTGAGAACCCTGCTCATGCATGAAATTAAAAATATGGATAAGCCAGAATGACGTAACATCCAAATTTGTGGTAGATGAAGAATCGGTGGAAATTCTTAATTGCACAGACTTTATAATCCATAATACAGAGTGTAATTCCATACTTTTTACTGTGGCAAGGGTGTGACGTGGTGTTAACCTTTTTAATTTTTGAATCCAAACTGAATTTAAAGTGTTGAATATTTAAATTCCTCACAAGCTAATTATGAACCATTTGTAAAGTGTTTATATAACTCTTTGTATCATGTGTTGGTACATCTTATCAAGTTTTTTCTGGCATGTATTCCATTCTAAACTTCTGTAAAATTTCTATTGTTGCTGTAAATATTATACAAATATCTATTCCGTGGTAACCTTAATTATCAGCATGAAATGGTTAATTTTTACTGAGCACAATGTATTTTTGAATGGATCTTCCCAAATGTCTTTAATAAAATGCAGATTTTGCACTGACTGTTGTGATTGCCAGGCTGTCCCCATCTTGAGCTTTTGTGGTCCCTGGCTTTTGAATGGCCAGCAGCTCCGTGTTTGTTCCTTCTTTGTAAAGAACTCATTTGATTTCAAATAGAGGATAATGGACCTTTGAAGTTGAAATCAGTTTAAGGGACAGAAAGTAATGTTAAAGCAGGGCAAATCCTGTTACTTAATGATAATATCCCCCCCCCCCACATCTATAAAGCTTTTTTCTCCTCCTGGCCTTTTGAAAATTTTGGTTTCTTTCACACTGGAGTGCTGTCTCTTTTGCATCTAGACACTCACTTGGTGGTTTGTCTCTTTTGCATCTAGACACTCACTTGGTGGTTTGGGAGGATGGGAAGAGATGTCTGCCTCCTACTCCGTGTGATGGAGAAAACAAAGATGAAGTATTTCTTCATATTTTAGAATAGGAGGTTGGCAAACTTCTTTTGCCAGATAGTAAATATTTGAGACTCTGTGGGCCACAGGGTCTCTGCCATTGTAGTGCAAAAAGCAGCAGAGGCAATATGTAAATAAGTATGGCTGTGTTCCAATAAAACTTTATTTACGAAAACAGGCGAGTTGCGGGGGTGGGGGGGTTACTGACTGATTTTACACCCTCACTTTTGTCTTTAGATACTCACTCAGTTGGTCTTATTGTTAATGGGGTAAGAACTTAGATTGTATGATAACATACGTAAATATTCTCCAACTTTCTTACTTTATCTCTCTAAACAAAGGATAGGAACTAAAACCCAATGATTTGCATTCTTAAAAGTACCTCATCTCCAACTTCTTCACTCTCGAGTTTCTCCTTAATGCCCCAGAAACTAGTGGCCTGTGATTTCAACTGTGATTCAAGATTGGATCAAATTATCTATTGGCTTATAATTTTTCTTTTTGTAGCACTTATTATGGCTGGGCACAATGCCAAGGCTTTTACTTTAATATTAGATTTTACTTGTCACAGCAATGCAATGAAGCGAGTAGTATCCTCATTTTGTAGATGAGGAAACTGAGGTTTATGGACCTTACATTAACTTACCCAAGGTCACCTGGCTAGAATTTGAAGCCTAGTCTTCATTGTAAAGCCTACACCCTTAAACACTACTAAGCAGGGCAGTTGCTGCATCTCCAAGTATGGAAAACGGACATGGGGCGATTCATGTACCACCTTTTTCCTCTCATCTCCCAGCAACTGGTAGTTGAGTTGAGTTGATTTGAGAATAGAGCAGTTCACTGAAACAAGTTAGTAGAGGCCCAGAGACTGGTGAAATGACTATAAAAGCACAGGATCTGGAGTCCGATTACCTGAGTAGAATCCTAGTTCCATCACCAACATCTTGTGTGGCCTTAGGTGTGTTACTTAACTTTCCTGTGCCTCAGTTTCCTTATCCTTAAATGGAAATAATAATAGTACCTACTTCATAGGGTTGTTGTGAGGATTTAATAAGATGGTAACCTTCAAAGCACTTGATAGATTCTGAATAAATATTAGCTAGCTATTATTTGTGCCTCACTTGGTAGCCCTACCTATGAAGCTGAAAAAGCTCTGTTGTGGAGTCTTGACTGCCAGTTCTAGAGAGCTCGTTAGGCACTGTAGATGTATTTATCCAATTTGATCTTCACACCAGCCTTGTAAAGTTGTCAGGGTTAAGAACCACCCAACTTGGTGCTATTCTTGGGATCACAGGGGAAGGAACAGCCCTTATAGCTATGCATTTGTCAGCAGGCCTCAGCACCCATGCTCCAGGTAGACAAAAGGATGGGCTTTTGTCAGCACATGTTCAAAGGCTCACCTTAGGGATGCAGTCTACTGGCCTCCGAGACTGAATTCATAGTGGTACCTTTATTTTGAAAGGCCTAAGTAACCTTTGCTTTGTCCAAGTAACCTTCTCCCACATTCAATACCAAAATCAGCTCAGATTTTTTTTTAAATCTTGGCAACACTTAGTGCTACTTCTTTGTTCATAGCATTTTATTTAGTTTTTTAAAGTCTCTTGCAATATGTTATGTTTTACCGCAATTAAAAAAATCTGAAAGTGTAGACTTTCACACTCTAGCATTTGTGAAAATAAAAGTAAACATGTTAACCTAAGGTAAAATCATGAGGTTTTGCTACACTATATATATATATATATTTTTTAGTTGAAATTCTTCCCCACAAAAGAAATAATACTATAAACTAGTTCATGTGTTTAATCACAAGATTCTGCTAGGCTTCTGATGTCCCTCAATAAAAGTTTTGTTTTTATACTGTGTTATAAGTTAAATGAGGTACACAATTAATATGCCATTATAAGCAAGTTACATGAAGATAAACATTTTATGGATCTCAGTATCTCATTGTTTATTAAATTCCGGAGTATGGAGCAATTTCCACTGTGAAATCTCAGCTGCCTTTGCAGAAGTTGACACATTGATCCTAAAATTCATATGGAAATTCAAAGGACTCAATAGCCAAAACATTCTTGAAGAAGAGCGAAGTTGGAGAATTCACATGTTTCAATGTCAATACTCACTACAAAGCTGCAGTAATCAAAATGTGTAGTACTGGCATAAAGATAGACATATAGATCAGTGTAATAGAATCAAGAGTCACCTTTACGGTCAAGTGATTTCTCAAAAAGGATGCCAAGACCATTCAGTGGGGGGAAAAATAGTCTTTTCAACAAATGGTGCTGGGACAACTGGATGTCTACATGCGAAGAATGAACTTGGACCCCTACCTCATACCATATACAAAAAGTAACCCAAAATAGATCAAAGACCTAAATGTAAGAAGTAAAACTGACACTCTTGAAAGAAAACATTGGAGTAAATCTTCATGATTTGGATTTGGCGATAGTTTCTCAGATGTGACACCAAAAATACAATAAAAAGAGAAGAATAAATTGGACTTAAAGTTTAAAAATGTATTTCAAAGGACTCTGTCAAGAGAGTAAGAAGACAGCCTACAGAATAGGAGAAAATACTAACAAGTTGTGTATTTGATAAGGGGATTGTATCTAGAATACATAAAGAACTCTTAATGCAATAATAAAAAGACCGCCTGATTTTAAAATAAAGAATCTGAATAGATATTTCTCCAAAGAACTTATACAAAAGGGCAGTGAACACATAAAAAGATGCTTAACATCATTAGTCATAGGGAAATGCAGATCAAAACCATAGTGTGATACTACTTCATATACACCAGGATGGCTCTAATCAAAAAGACAGATAATAACAAATGTTGAGAACCTGGAACTCTCATATATTGCTGGTGGGAGTGCATAATGGTGTGGCCACTTTGGAAAATTATCTGACGGTTCCTCCAAAGGTTAAACATAGAGTTACCATGTAATAAACATATTATACTCCAAGGTATGTAACCAAGCTAGATAAAAACATACATCCAAACAAAAATTTGTACACAGTTGTTCGTAGCAGCATTATTCATAATAGCCAAAAACATGGAAACAACCTAAATGTCCATCAACAAATGAATGGATAAATACAATGTGATCTATGTGTATATTGGAATAATATTCAACTGTAAAAAGGAATTAAATACTGACACATGCTACAACATGAATGAACCTTGGAAAAACACGATGCGAAGCAAAAGACAGAAAAGACCACAATTGTGTGATTCCATTTATATGAAATGTTGAGAATAGGCAAATCTACAGAAAGTGGGTCAGTGGTTACCTAGGGCCAGGTGGGTGAGTTGGTTGGGGGGTAATGGCTAATAGGTGCAGGTTTCTTAGTGAGGGTGATGAATTTTTCTAAAATTGTGATAATGGTCACTCAACTCTGAGTGTACTACAAGTCATTGAATTGTACACTTGAAATGGGTGAGATTTGTATGGTATATGACTTTATCTCATTAAACCTTTACAAAACAAAAATTTCCAACATGAACAATTACTTGGAGAACCTGTATCCCTGCCTCACACTGTTTCATTTTTCTCTTCTTTCCTTTTAGCTGTATTCCCCGCCTGTGTCCGTGTGCCTGTCATAGAGGACCTGACCTCTGGCTACTTCCGTTTTCTGTGACAATCCATGTTGTGATAAAAGTTCATTCAACTTTCCAGCAAGGGGCTCCGATCAGGCATCTGTTCTAACTGGATTTATTCGTGTATCCTAAGACCTGAGGATTTTTTTTTCTCCACCTGGAATTTGATATGTTTGTATTTGAGAGAATACTGAGCAAGGAAAGCATTTTTCCAGCTTCAAGTATACAGGGGATTAGAAAGATGGTGGGTTGAATATAATGCTGTTCTAAGCCCAAAACACCGGAGAAGAGATTTGGGGCTTTTAGGAGGCTTCCCACTCACAGAGAAGGTGAATGCAATGTCCAAGATTGTGTTAGTGTGAGTCCATTCAATTGGCTTGGCATTTGAAAACAAAACGTAACTTGGGAAAATGAGCTGCTAATAGAGACTCAGCTGTGTCAGGGCCAGGACAGTTTTGGATTCCTGGGTCTTGACAAACGGCCCTCATCCGCTGGTTTCACCCCCTCTCTGCTCGGGCTTTCATATACCTCTCCTTTCCACTCCCCATGTTATCCACCCCTCCCAGGGAACGGCCTGAAAACTCAGGCTGAGCTATAAATGACAGAGGAGGCTTAGGCTGTGGTCCCTGAAAAGTCCCTGCTTTATGCACTCCCCTCGGAAGGCCAGGCCCATTCCTAGCCCCATCCCTCCCAAGGCCATTTCAGCCTCAGGAGTAGGCATGGTTGTGTGTTCTAGGGCAAGGGGGAGAGGTTAAACAGTTGGGTCGTGAGAGACACAGCCACATGGCCCTCCTTAGGACATAGGGTCTGACCACTTCCTGCAAAGCATGCAGTTAGCTAATGGGCTTCCTCTGTGTAGCCAGTGATAGCTCCTGGGCTAGCTGTTTTTAAAATGTTAAGCTTGTTGAAAAATGGTAGCCCTAGATAGGGGGAAATTCTGGTGAGCTCTGGTCATTTGGCTTTCCTAAATATAGAGAACTGCTACTTACATGTGCAGCCTGTCCCATGTATTCACCCAGATAGTGACCACAGGCTGGAAAAATTTGCTAGAATAGATCTGTATGTAATAAGAGCTCTGCAACCACCCCCTCCCTATCCTTGTGTGCGTGGGGGTGAAAGCTCAGAGCAGAGGAAGCCCTCTTACCTGGGGGGATTGGTTGTGCACAGCTCCCAGGAGACCAGGAACAGGCTCCCAACTGCTCTACTCATCTCTGACAACCAGTCACCCAAAACCTTGCCCCCTGCATGCCGGGTGCTCTAAAAGTCCTAAAAGGTCATGATTCACTGAAAACTTAAAAGGAGAAACCGTAAGCTTGCTCCCCATTTGCATTCAAATCAAGGTTTTATGAAACTCTGTGTTCCTAAAAAAAAGAAGAAAAAAAAAAACCTCTATGTTCCTGTTTTTAGTGTGGTAAAGCAAAAGAGTTTTTAAATTATCTGGGCTCTTTTGTGTTCCCTGGGACCACACCTTTCACACTGTCAGACCAAAACCAAAAAGAAAAAGAGAGCAGCAAAATTACCCCTGCTACTTAGGCTTTTAGATGAAAACTAGTTTTAGGGACGTTTTCTTTGTTCTTATTTTCTTTGGCAGTGAGTGGGAAATACGCTCGTTTTCCTTTCTCTTTGATTGAAATGGGAAACTTGTTTTTTTAAAGAAATTATTTCTGCCAGGCTCTGCATTGAAAAGAGCTTGTAAAATACAGCTGCGTTTGTCACCCTGTTGGAACCCTGTCAGGGTTCCCCTGTAGGCTGCTCTGAGCCCTCCACCCCTACCCACCCACCCCCCCCAGGGCAGGTGTGGAGCTGAAGGAGGCCTCAGGCACACTTGCTGACACATTCCAACAGCTCCATCCGGATGGCAATGCGGACATGCCAGCCCAGCGGGATCAGCCGAATGAAGCGGGAAATGATGGGGGGCCGCAGAAGGTTCTGGACTGTGGAGGTTCGGTCTGAGTTTCCATAGAAGACCTAAAGAGAGAGAAAATCTTGTTGCTATCACATCAGGGGATGGAAAAGGACAAACAATTCCTATCTGAAGCTGGCCCCAACCTTTTTTTTTTTTTTAAGATTTTATTTATTCATGATAGACAAAGAGAGAGAGAGAGAGGCAGAGACACAGGCAGAGGGAGAAGCAGGCTTCATGCAGGGAGCCCGATGTGGGACTTGATCCGGATCGACAGGATCACGCCCTGGGCCAGAGGCAGGCACCAAACCTTTGAGTCACCCAGGGATCCCCCTGGCCCCAACCTTTAAGTTTGGGAAATCTCACCAAGTGGTTAAGGCTCAGAGAATTGCACATGCCCCCGTCTGAATTTGCATGTTAGAGCCTCGCATCTGTGCATGCTCTAGGCCTCTCCGAGTCACTCTGGGGACATCTAGAACTGCACCATCCAATATATTGGGAAGCATTAGCTACATGTGGCTCTTTAAGTTTAAGTGAATTAAAATTAGATAACAGTTTCCTCAGTCACACTGGCTAGGGTTCAAGTGCTCCATAGCTATATGTGATTAGTGGCTTCCATATTGGACAGCACAGGTACTAACATTTCCGTCATTGCAGAATGTTCTGTTGGATGGCACTGATAGAAAATACCTCCTGATCCTTATTGCCAATTTTGTGTTTTCATCCTTTGCATTTTGACAAATTTTGAAAAGGACCACATCATGCTTATGAGAGAAATGGTCCTGTATTACAAAGGTATCCAAAGTGGGGCTCAAGTAAAAGCTCGAGTGTGCTGGCTCTGAAGTTGTGAGCCAAAGCTTAATTGCACATCTCTACATCCATAGAAATGGCAAATAGACTTGGAAAACTGCTTTTTGGAAAAGAAAAAGACATAAAAATAAGGAAGGGAGAATGCAGTACCCAAAGTAGAGAGAAAAAGGGTCGTTTAGTGTTTTGGGGGGACACAACATAGCACGGTGCCCTGGCTGTAACACAAAAAGGTGATGTAGTTGGCCTCATCTCCAAAGAAATCATTCTTTGCAGTCTTTCTAGAGTCCTGGTGCTATGCCTGATGACACTGGAGCATTTCATTTCTCTCTGGGATTATCTCCCTGAAAAAAATCTGGCTGCCACATTGGCCTCATCCATCTACAAAACAAAAAGGACCTCCTACGCCATAATCTTGCCCCTCTTCCCAGTAGCAACATCCCACATCCCCTTCTCTCAGCTCTTTTCCCTTGAACCTCTTCAAGTCGGGGGACAGGTGAAGAGGGAGGATGGAACAGGCTCCTCCAGATTGTACAAGTGCCTGAGCAGAATGCCTCTTTGCAAAGAACCGTCAAGGCCTTCAGAAATGCAGACAGGACTTAAAAAAGAATTCTCATTTCTTTTTGAAAAAGCCAACTAATGAGAGCAGAAATGAAATAAAATGTAGAAATATCAAGATGGCTTTTCCTATTGTATTCAATCAAACCCCTTGAAATCTCACCCCATGAATATCTATCTCTGTATAACTTGTCATTAGAGAGTACAAAGCTTTCTGGTTTTCAGCCACACGTATCTACTTAATCTGATTAAATGTCCAAATAAGCTTCAGAAGTCCTTACTCTCAGGCAAAAGGATAGTTAACATTTCCAAACAGCTAGTGAGGTTTTAATTCATTGCAAATATACATTATATATATAAAATGTGTGTGTGTGTGTATATATATACACACACACACACACACACATATACACACACATATATACACACACACACTTAATTACAAGCCTACTATGTTCAGTCTATGGTGAACAAGACTTGGGGCTTGGCCCTTAGAGGTTAGTAGGATATATAGGTGCTGCTCAAGGGCTTAAGTTCCTCTGTGTCTGCACTGCTGGAGTCATTTTAATCATTTATGTAGTTCAGTGGCTAACTTGCTGGATTGTCCAAATCTTCTGAGCCATCCGTCTCAATAGTAAGAGGCCTTATCTACATAAATGGACAAGGACCTACCCACATCAATAATAGGTCAAGTCAGACCCATGCAGCAAAGTGTTCAGTGGCCCAGTGAGCTTGGAATAGTCCAAATGGCCAGTTTTGATTATTTAAGCAACTATAAGCTGATATGAGAATTCAGGCAAAGATTTCTTCTGTACACAAGAGTGGTGCTCATTCACGAACAAGCTGCTAGGCACCCAGGATGCAGTAAGAAAAGACACCTGCCTTGTCAGAGAGTAGACCATGTTGCGGGGAAGAAGCGTGGATGACTTCCCTTGTCATGGAGTCAGTGGTATGACAGGACGGGAGCGGGAAGAAGTCCCAGAGAGTGTGAGCTGAAGGTAGTTTGGGGTCAGCCCAACTTACCCGATTGTTTCCTGTCTGGTCCTTATAGTAAATCCAGTTTAGGTTCTCATCCGTCCTGTACTGCACGCTGTACTTGGTCATCCACTCGTCGATGTCACAGCGCCCCTGGGTGAGGATTCCTGAAATCACCTTGACCTCCTTCAGATCGATCTGTAACCACTGGCTGCTGTCCTGGTACTTGGAGAGCCAGGCGCACCTGCCAGGGACACAGCAAATCACCAGGAGCCTTTTCCCACGAGCACCTCCAAGGAGCTGAGAGGCACTGCCCTTTGAGGGGCTGCCAGCCCCTGAGGAAGCTCTGCAGTGCGCAGGCAGTCGGAGCTGCGACCAGTTAAGCACCAAGAGGCCCGTGTCCAAGAAGGGGCGAGCCTCTGTTACCCTTGTACCATTCTCTTTCTCCCTGCATCTCCGCTGCCCGAAGAAAACTGGCCAGATTCAACCGATTTGTCAAAGGGCCTCTGAGTGTAGCTGAAATCACCTTTGGGGTGTGGTTGAACAGGTCTTTCTTCAAAACACGAAAATGCATGGTTATTGCACCCGCCAGCCCCCTTCCCTTTTCATTTAGTCTCTCCTGATGTCTCTTTCTCCATGAGTCTTACCCTAATTTCAGTCCCTTTATACCTATCTGCCTCCCCTCCAGGTACTGTCATTTATGGCTTTCAGAGAGGGTCTCCCACGTGCCGAACACTGAGCCAAGGAGCTCTGGAAGGACTTTTAACAATCGTAAAGCAAACTAACCATTGAAGGAACTGATTTGTTTTTTTAGCTCTATCCCTCGTGAATTGTGGAGGGATCATTCCCCCTTTGAGGTTTTTATTTATTTTTTGCATATTAATTAGCTTCTTGGGACTGAGTCTTTGGCCGCCTTTTCTTCTCACTCTAGACTTGCTCCTTCAGTGGCTTTTGAATTTTTAACTTCCATCCCAGACCTTTTCTCAATTCCAAAATCTGAGTATCAGTGGCTGTCTAGACAACTTCTAAATGCCTTACAGCATCCCAAATGAAACCTGTCCAAGAGTAAACTAATCCTCTCTACCCCAACCACTCCTTCCAGTATCCATCTCTCAGAATGCTACATCCGGGACACCTGGGTGGCTAGGTGGCTGAGCGTCTGCCTTTGGCTCGGGCGTGATCCCAGGGTCCTCGGATCGAGTCCCACATCGGGCTCCCCGCATGGAGTCTGCTTCTCCCTCTTCCTGTGTCTCTGCCTCTCTCTGTGTGTCTCTCATGAATAAATAAATAAAATCTTTTAAAAAAAGAAAAAAAGAATGCTACCTCCATCCTCCTGGTGTTCATGCCACCCATCTGAGAGAGATCCTTGGTCCCTTCCTTTCCATCACTTCAAACATCCAATCCATCTACTGAGTCCATCTCAGATGTTTCTCAAATTCATTTACTTTTCTCCATTTCCCTGGTGCTGTTCTTGCCCACATCATCCTCAGCTCTTGCCTGGATGATTGCTACTCTAGCTTTCTTAACTAGTCTCCCTGGGTTACCCACCACCACCACCACCACTAAATAGTTCACCCCCACAGGACCCAGATTTTTATAAAAACACAAATATGATCCTGATACTCCCCAACTTCAAATCTTTCTCTGATAAAATCTACTAATTGTCTCACAATATTCTCTTCTCATTTTCCTTTAGTAATAGAACCCTCCCTGCCACCACCACCAAGTTTTACCTGGGCAAATAGCCACCCAGCAGAGTTCGTATTTCCCTTTGTAGCTAAGTGAGACAATCTGACCAAATTCTAATGAATGGGGTATGGACAAGGTAGCCAATATGATTATGCTTGTATCCTTTAAAGAAAAGTATGTGTATTCTACGCTTCTTTTCTCCCCACTGACTAGAAAGTAGATGTGATAGTGGAAGCTAGAGCAACCATTTTGGGCCCCAAGATGGAAACTTCATGTGAAGGATGACAGAACAAGGTAGAATGAGTCTGGAACCATCAGCCATCATAACCCTTCACTGCCTAATGAAAATTTTATTTTATTTAATTTTTTTAAAAGATTTTATTTATTTATTCATGAGAGACACAGAGAGAGAAAGAGAGAGAGAGAAAGACACACAGAGAGAGAGAGAGAGAGGCAGAGACACAGGCAGAGGGAGAAGCAGACTCCATGCAGGGAGCCCGACGTGGGACTCGATCCCAGGTCTCCAGGATCACACCCTGGGCTGAAGGCAGTGCTAAACCGCTGAGCCACCCAGGTGTCCCTCTAATGAAACTTTTAGATGACCAAGAAATAAACCTCCATGTTACTTAGGTCTTTGTACTTTGGTGCTCTTTGTTACAGCAGCACAAACTTGTATTCTAACTAATGCACATTCAAGAAATTCTCATTTTGCCTAAAATAAGGACCATAATCCTTAACATGACTTCATGATCTGACTTCTGCCTACTTCAAATGAATCAGGTCTTTCTTCTGTGTCTCCTCCACAGCATTTATCATACTCACTAAATGATCAGTTGTGTGATTATGTGCTTAGAGTGCCTCTCCCCCTCTAACCTGTGTGCTTCTTGAAGGCTGGGACCTTATCCACCTTGTCCACAGTCCTCTGCACATGAAAGGCATTCAATGACTTTTTGTTGAAGACATAAATAAATGCACTCTGCCATTCGTTTATTACAAAGACGTACATTTTTCAAATCACATGAAAAAAAACCACCTGAGCCACCTGCCCTGCTTACCCAAAGCCTTGACTGTTGAGCCGGGCCTTGTTAGCTGTCCATGAGGAATACCAGCCCACATACTGATCCAGGTTGGAGCAGGTGATCTGGTCTGGTGTAACCTCTCCTGACTCGAAACCCAGGGGCTTATGATACGGGCATTCTGGAAAAGAAAAGACAACACACATTAAAACGCTCCTATCACATCACAACACTGAACCAACACGACATGACAAAAATGACAAATCAAACCATCTCATCTGCGCTTTGGAAGGTGGAGAATGTTTTGCTTGGCAGCGCAGTTCACGATGGATCTTCAACCTACTTACTGCTCTTATGAGAAGAGAGTGAAGATGAGGTAAAAGGATTGCCATAGAGACTCAACATTCATAAAAGCAGACGAAAGGGGCTCTATGGCAACCTGAGGTGGGGGGCGCTGAGAAATACTTCACCTCCTCCACAAACTTAGATATTTAAAAAAAAACCAAGAGGTTCACAGAGAAATATCATACTTAAATGCCATACTCTTTATATTCCTCATGAACACACTTTTAGCCATCCTGCAAGATGACATCAGGTCCCTCGGGCAGCATATGATGCTAATGATAGAAACAAAACAATGGTGAGAGGCAAGAAAGGCAATTATATATGAGACTGATTTCTCACTTGTAAATTGCAGTTTTCTCACTAGTCTAATGAGAAAAAAAAAAGGGTGTGTGTGTGTGTGTGCGCGTGTGGTGTGAAGTGTTCCTGAGCGACTATTGAATGAGGTACAGTTGAAAGGAGCTATTTTTTTTTCCAAATAAGAATAGCCAAAGCTGATTCTTAGATGTTAACCGCCTGCTGCTTTTCATGTATTTCCTACATTTAGTATTGGGTTACCTGGTCAAAGACTTTTGCCAATTGCCAGCCTAGTATCCATTCTCCCCTTGTTTTTGATGAAAGAGCCCTAATTTTGCTGAGCAACATGTAACCAGTAAAAAAAACAAAAAACAAAAAACATTTCCCAGTCTCTTTTGCAGTTAGAAGTGACCACATGATACAATTTCTGACCTCTGAGATATAAGATGATGTCTGCTGGGGATTTCTGATCAATTTTTGCTCACCCCTCCTTTCTTCCTGTGGCCTAGAAGGAAGACTTGATGGCTGGCCCAGTGGTAGCCATCTTGCACAATGCGGGGAAGGCCAAAAGAACTGCAGAGACCTCAGCCCTGATATCCTTAGGCAACAGGAGTCAAAACAGAACTAATTTATTAAGCCACTAATGGGGTCTCTTATAATCAATCACAGGTTCTAGCTAAATTTCTATAGAAAAATAAATGATAAACTTATACAAATACATTCAGTTTTCTGATTGTGAACGATAAACATCAAGTAGGTTAAATAATTTTTTTTTCCATGTGTAAATTTGAGTTCAGATTGAAGAGCTGAACACACTTACTGGGGGCATCATCACCTCCCAACAGTAAGATGACTGCTGAGGTCTTTCTGGAGGATAATTTTCAAAAGTCAGTAGGACAGAATGAAGCGTGCCAAAGCTGGACTGCCATCCATCCTGACACTAGAATGCCCGCAGGGGTAGCCATGCCCTGTCCTCAGAGACTGAAGACAGAAAGACAGCTTCAGGCCTCTGACGGGGAGGCTTCACCACCTTTCTGCCCAAGGCACCAAAGGGAAGGATCCAACACACACACCCCACTCCCCCCCCACCCCCCGCCCCCAGTAGCTGCAGCTCAGTGGGGCTGGAGGGGAAGGGACAGTATTCATAGTTTATCTAGTACCCAAGGCTTTGGGAGCCTATTAAAAGACTATGCTGATGGAGCAGGGATGGGCCATAAGTTCATGCTTTAGTAACCAGGGGATGTTTTAGGTCAACCCCATTGGTTTCACGTAGGGTGGGCTGCATACTCCCAGAGGAATATGAGAAGGAGAGGAAATATTTGCTGAGCAGACAAAAGTAGAACCTGCTACTTGCATCAGTAGGACATAAAGGCTTTCATCTGGAAACTTCTGAGTCCCATGAAGGCCACGCCTGTCCCTAAAGGTGGGACCCTTTCACCCCTGGAGCCCCCTCATTTTTAATAAACGCATTTATGAAGTGCACTTTGGAAACCTTGGCCTGTAGGGGAAGGCATCTCTGGTTGGCAGATCCAGCGGCCTAGTGCCCGTGGCCCCAGGGGCTTCTCCACCTCCTCCATTCCCCTTTAAGCCCATGCCACCAAAAGAAGGGATGAGGTCCCAGCACCAGAAAGCTGGGTTTCAGTGGGGCTCAAGTTTGTCTGTTAAATTCTAACTGTGGATGTCTCTAAGGCCCCTCCATCCTGAGACTCCCCTTTCTTGCTCCAGGGCCGCCAGCTTAGAGGGAGGGAGCAGAGGGGAAGGAAAAGCCATCAGCCCACTCCTGATTGCTTTATTCTTGGCATTTTGCTCTTTCTCTGTTTCCCCCTCACAATTCTTTTGCCATTTCTTTCCAATTAGCCCATCTAATTGTTAAGAGTGGGCTGGAAACCTGCGGAGACCTAGCCCATGGCAATGGCCTTGGAGGCCGGTGAGATCTAGACGTGGACCCTGCCCACGCTCTCCAGGAAAGTCACAATCTCACCATCCCCTTGACTTCAGCTGCCATCTGGGAGTCAGTGCCGGACCCTCAGGCCCCAAGCGTTATCTAGTCATTGTCCATTTTCCAGGTGAACGATTCCATTGGGTGAGCCAAAAATCCTTCACACCCAAGCATCCAAAACTGAGCCCTTCAGCATCCAAGCCCCAAGCTTGCCCCTGTCCAGTGCTCCTGTCTCAGGCATTGGTGCCTCTAGCTGCTACCCCAGAAACCCGGTGGTGTGGCCCAGGGCACAAAGCAGAGACTCTGACGGGTCTCAGCCTGGATATCACTTGGGGAGTTCAGAAGTGCTAATGTTCAGATCACTCGCCCAGAGATTCTGATGTCATTGGTCTGGGGTAGGACCTGGCTAGGGGTAAAGCTGCAAGGGATTGTAACAGGCAGCCAAGGTCAGGGATGCCTGCTTAGAGAGTCCGCGTGAGCTGGGATTGGATCCCACTCTCTGTGTGAGCGTAAGCAAGCTGCCTAACCTCTCTGGGTCTCAATTTCTTCATCTGTGAAATGGGCACAACAGTCCCTGCTTCCATAACGTCGCTGGGGTTACATGAAATGATGTTTGTAGAGTAGAGCCTGCAGTGGCTGGCCAAGAGCAACAGACTATATTGGTGTAATAGGGTGAATTTGTGGGAATATATTGACGCCTTCTTGAGTTTTTCATGTTTGTCTTTCTGGTGAAGACTCACCCGGAAAGGAATCTAACCCCCTCCACCCCTCTCTGTCCTGCCCCATCATCCCCTCCCCCGAGGAGGAGTCCAGCTTCACGTTTCTAAACGTTTGGGCTCCTCTTGCTCCAGGAAGAATAAGCCGCACACTCGTGTTTGTGTGTGTGTGTGTGATTCAAGAGAGGAAAAGGCTGTTGATAGCATAGCATCTCTCAGATTTATGAATTTGGAGGATCTAGGCCTCAACAGAAATTACCTGATTGCGCTAGAGGAAGTGACTGGAGATTCTGGGCTTTGGCCTTTGTCCGGGAAAGGGGGTTCTCGTGGAGGGGCCTGAGCTCAGTGGAGACGTTTCCTCTGAGGGGGCTGGACCATGGATGGGGTCAGGGAGACACCTTTGGGAAACCTGGGAAGGTTCCTGGGACTGGGCTGAGCTTGGTTCAGAGGGAAAAGAATCACCACCAAGTGTCTGCCTTCAAGGGGGGTCGTAGGCCAGGCCGAGAGCTACCCTCAGGCAGCCCTTGAAGCCCCTGCGGGTTTCCTGTAGTCCAAGGAGAGAGGAAGGACCTTTAAGGATTCTGTCTTTAGACTCCTCACAGGCCATGACAAAGGAGGCCTCAAACTGGAGTTATTTAAACTTGGAGAAGTGGGAAATATGACATTTCTCATGCTCTGTGTGCTGTGGAGGTAGCTGCAGTCAAGTTATGTTATTATTTTTCCTGACTCCTCTTCCACCCCTACCCCCCCTTTCTGTGGTCCTGGCTGAGCTCCCTTCTGGTCCTCATGCAGGCCTAGAGGCCTTCCCTCTGCCTGTGACACTCCTGTCCCCTGTCTTCCCCCTTCACCCAGCCTACTCTACTCATCCTTGGGATCTCTGCACACTTCCCCTTCCTACCCTGAGCTGGGTGAGGGACTCCAGCGGCAGCCTCCCCAGACACCCCGTTCCTGTCCCTTGTTCCCTGTCCTTGTGATGATGGACTTGCCAGCTCCCCCGGTCTGTCTGGCTCACCATTGTATGCTCTGGGCCGAGCAGGATGCCTGCACATGCTCTGCACTTGATAGTTCTAGATTGGACAGTGAAGGAAGGGCTCCACAAGGATTATCATCTGTCTTGGGTGGCCGCTAGGCAGAGGCGCAGAAAACAGCAGAAACAGGAAGCAGAAAGCTCAGGGAGGAAATAGAGGTTGACCAGCCCAGAGAACCCCCACCCCACACCCGCCCTGAGCAAAAAGAAACTGTCTTCTAAGTATGAAGTAGGATTAAGCAACACAAATAATGTTGCTGGAAGAATTAAGGGGGTCGTCGTCACACTTACACAGAATATAGCCTTCCCACGTTTTCTGCCCAGTGGAAGTTAGTGTAGCCAGGAAGCCTGTTTTCACGCTCATATTAAGTAGAAAAAGAACGTTTCTACATTCATTTCAAGGGAAAACCTACATTTTTCTCTGAGCAAGCGATGCTTTGATCATTCCAGGAATAAAGCCATATTCAAAATGTGCTGCTAATCCAGACTATACTTAGCATGCTGGCCCTCCTTCAGTAGGTGGCTTCTCCGTTGGTAGGCTTGAAGGCCAGACGTGCTTACACAGAACGTTAACCTAGAGAAACCCAAGGGGAGCTGAGGGACGTTCTTGACAAGAGAGATGTGAACTATTACTATGCATGCGTATGAGACTTGAACATACATGGCGAAGTAGTACAGTACAGAATAATGTTTATGGAATAGAGCGGAAACCCGAAAATAATATAGAAATATAAAATCTAGAATAAAGGTAAAGCAGTAACAAATCATTGGCTTTCTTATGTTGTGATACTTTCCTTACCCTGTTGCCCCTGTCGGAGCGCCAAGGGAATCTCAGTTTGACTGGGGAAGACAGACAGACCTTTTAGTCGTTTTCATAGTGTTAAGCCGAAGATTAAGGAGGCCATAAGGCACCTAGCCAGGCACCTTCTTCTCCGTGGATGGGGACACTGGACAGTAACAGCCAGTGTGCACCTGGGGAGGCCCGCTGGCAGCTCTGAGTGACCCTCCCTCCTGTTCTTCTGCACTTTCTAGGCTCTTCTTCCCTCCTAAGGCAGGCTCTGATGGAAGCACTGAATCTCAGGGTGCAGAGGAACCAAGCAGCATTCTTCACATTCCAGTGAGGATCTGAGGCACTAAGGGGCAAGTGAATTCTGGAATACTGCAGCTAGTCCTGCTGCCCTGAATCATCTCTTCCGTGGAAAAACCCATTAACTCCAAGGAATCAACCCTTTAACACTTGGGTTGCATTTTTTCCTTCCTGGAAATATCTGTGCTATTAAAAAATAAAAGCAAAAAACAACCCCCAAAATGGTGGAGAGAGGACACCACTTCAGCTAAAAGAATCTCTGATCTCAGAACTTCAAGTTCACGGCAGGTGTGGGGGGACCTGGGTGGACTTCACATTCCTCAAACACACAGACAGGCCTCCTCAGCTTCACAGCTGGTGGGGTCAATGAAGCCAGTCTGCATAAATAATCTCTTTTCGAGTTGTGTGTAGAAAGAACTTGGTGTTGGAATTCCAGGCGGTCTTCGTGTCTCTGGGTGAAGAGGACATTTGTCCCTACCGCACAAGCAACTCTTTCGGGGTGGAGCTGATGGCTTGTCTTCAGCTTCCCTTTGGTGCCTGGCACACAATAGGCACATGATGGAAAAAGGTGGAATTGAATTTTAAATGGATTATTAAGGAGGGAGCTTCCATATTGACTGGACATCACGCCAGTCGAGAGAGGTGGCAGGAGCTCACGCCGTGGAACACAGCGGGCCGGACGGTGGAAGCCACCAAACCAAGCAGCACTTGCTGCTTTCCTCACTCCCGGGACCCTGCTGTTCCTTCCCAACAGACTGGGTCCACAAACCACTCCTAGCCCTTTAGTACATAGGGGAACAGAGGCAGTAAAGGCCATGATAGACTCTCCTGCCTCCCCCGCCATTCGCTATTTTAATACAAATTTAATGAAATCATGAAAAGAAGCTCACACATGTACACACATACTGTCTCTAGTGGAGCTATTATTAGGCGATTATGTAAAGTGAATGACTTGGCATGGCACCATTGTGACCCTGGAGAGGGGTGACAAAGACAGTTTCAAGCAAAAGAGGCTCAGAGCCATGGAAGGGGCTGAGCGTTGCAAGTATTTGCAGGGCCCCCAAGCCTCGGAAAGTCAGAGTGGGAGCTCACAAGGGGGGGAGAAAAGGGGCCGCCCTTTATTAAAGCTACAGTTGGCTGGGTGCCACACAAGATGCTCTCATGCGTCATCCAAAGTATTCCGCATACCAACTCCTCAGAGCAGGGGTCAGCAAACTGTGGCCCTTGGGTCAAATGTGGCTCGCCACCTCCTTTGGGAAATAAAGTTTTATTGGAACACAGCCATGCTCACATATTCACATATTGTCTATGGCTGCTTTCGCACTACCATGGCCCAATTGAGGAGTTGAGACCCTGTGACCCACGAAGTCACAAATATTTAGCATCTCGTCGTTTGCAGACCAAGTTTGCTGGCATGAAGCTTACAGGGAGACATTAATAGTAGCCAGGAAGGGCTATGTTAGCCTGCAGGACAAATTGCCTCGGCAATTTCAGAGGCTTGACCCAACAAATGTTTATTTTTCACTCAGGTGACTTGTCCATTATAGGTTGGTAGGCCTTTCTGCTCCATTTAACCCCCCGGGACCCACACTGAAGGAGGAAGCACTTTCTCAAGCATGGAAGGGAGAGCCAGAGAGTTGAGTACCGGCCCTTAAATGCTCATTTTGGAAGAGACACTGCTCACTTTGACTGGAACTGCTCATATGGCGCCACCTGACTATAAGGGGGCAGGAATGTGGGGAAGCACACGGTTGTTTGGTGAGCAATAAACCCTCGGGCACAGTACTATGACCTCCATTTGACAGACAACGACCAAAGTGGGAGTCCTAGAGTTAAGAAATGAGGCAGCCAGGATTCCAACTCTGGTCTTTCTGGCTCAAAAGCCTGTACTCTTCTCAAAATGCTCCGCTTCCTGCCATTGATTCATTTCCATAAATTTCGTGAGTCTATTTCATTGAAAATAGGTGCCAGCTCACCATCTTACGTAGGCCAAGGAGAGATGCAAGAAGCTGTTTCTAAACACTGACATCCGTGTGGTATGTTGGAACAGTGGCCGTTGTGTGACGTGAAGCTCAGAGGCCAACTGTGTGTTCAGGGGGATTAATTCAGCCAGGTTGAAGAGAAAGGAGAAACAGTGTTCCTGAGGACACCCCAAGGAGCGGGTGCCCTAAGGAGAGGGGACACTCACCTGGTATGCAATCTACGGAGGTGGCACCAGCCGACCAGAGGCCATTGGGACTGCCTTGGCAGTCACATTTGCATGCTTTCTGGTACCAGGGGTCCTCACTCTCATCCTGCAGGAAGCCAGAGGGGCAAGAGTGTCAGTCACAGTGAAAGGCAACTCTGGCCAGAGCCCCACTGGAAAAGTTTGTGTTCAAAAACCCTGCTCATTCATCACCTGTATTCTATGCGTGCTTTTGCACTACAGCAGCACAACTGGATGATTAGTTCAGCCTTAACACATACAGTTGCCACTCATCTTTGAGTCCAGATAAACAAATGTCCACCACTGTGGGTGACCAGCTAATGATCACACAGACACACTCATGCAGGGAGCACTGTTCACCCCATTATAGTGATCTTCAGGGGCTGGGGGAGCCCCAAGCCAAGGTCAGGCTCTCACTGCCCCTGGAGGTCCCTTTTAGGGATCCAGCTTTAAAAGGTAATGGGTTCAAGATTATACCACCTGTATTAAGACCTGGTTTACTTACATCCTCTCATTAAAACACCAATCTTGAATTTTCCTGGATAAAATGTGCCATTGCTACCACCAAAATAAAATATCTTAAAAAATACTTTTTTTTTTTTTAAGTGATAATCCTACACGTTATTTTCAGCTAGGACAATCTTCAAAAACAGCTTTCTTAAAAAATGAGTGGGAAATATCAGAAAGGGAGACAGAACATGAGAGACTCCTAACTCTGGGAAACGATGAAGGGGTGGTGGAAAGGGAGGTGGGCGGGGGGTGGGGGTGACTGGGTGACGGGCACTGAGGGGGACACTTGATGGGATGAGCACTGGGTGTTATTCTATATGTTGGCAAATTGAACACCAATAATAAATAAATAAATAAATAAATAAATAAATAAATAAATAACAGCTTTCTTACTGCAACATACCTCAGTAGATGATAATCCCAGTGTGGCTAAGCAAAAAGACAAGAGGGGGGAAAATCAGGTTAAAAAGAGGGGGAAAATCAGGTTAAAAAAAGAAACAAATTCAACAAAATGATCCATTCCATGGAAAAGTGAAATGGAAATAATCACATAAAAGTTAACAAAGCCTCTTCTGGAAGAAGTCAAACTAAGTAAATATCTGCCAGGAATAACCTCCACAGATGCTGAGAAACTAGGGACAGTAAAATGAAACAGACAAGGATAATTATTATTATTATTATTTTAGAGTAAATTCTTCCTCAAAGTGTGGCTCCAACTCACGACCCCAAGATCAAGAGTCACATACTCTACTCACTGAGCCAGCCAGATGCTCGTATTATTCTTGTTCTTTATAGAATTTTGGAAAATGCATTAGTGTAGCAAAGAGAAAACAAACGCTCCTGTATTTCTTATCACAAAGGCAATACTGTTAACATTTTTGCGTAAATCTTTCCAGCCTTTTTTCTATGTGTATTTTTAAAAACATATTTGAGAACCTACTATGTAAACAATGCTTACAATCGACACTTACATTGTTACGTTTGACATTAACAGTGCTTGCTTTTCCCTTTACTTATTAACCCTTCATCATCATCATCATCCCTGGTGTCTGCCAAATGTGCGACTCAGGAGCTGATTCCTAGCCCTCTCCCCCCGCCTCCATGACATATTTTGGTTATTTAGGATTAATAAGCACCAAAGCTCCATTTCCCATTTTTTCCAAAGTGGATGCCTTCAATTCTTTCCTCATCATAAAAGCAACACCTACCTACCTAGTATAAAAATCTTGAACGAAACTTGAGTGTAGACAATAGGTAATAAAAGTCCCCCCCTTAACCACTTTCCTATCTAAAAGTTGAATCTGATGCCCCCCAAAAACCTTTCAGACCGTTTTAGAGAGTAAAGGAATGGTCTCATCTTTCATGTCACGATTACAAAAGTGCTCTTTTTCAAATTGTGCCTTCATTTAAGTAATACATATTTAGCTCTTCTGCAAACCACTTTTTCATGTCCACTGTGAGCCTGGCACTGCACCGGGGCCTGGGCCTTCTGAAACAGAAGCGTCGCTCTCTGCACACAGGGCCTGGAGGACCCAGGAGAGGACAGACCCTTGGGTGACGCACGTGGTGAGTCCTCCACCAGGTTTGCACAAGCTGCGGTGGGAGTCCAGGGGAGCACATCTTTTAGAGCACTTCAGAGCTACCCCTCACCCGTGGTCGCCAAACTGGGCTGTCTCTCCTGGGCCTCATTCACGGGTTATTCATTCCTAGAGATTCCTTGGTCTACCCGCTATGGGCAGAGTTGATCCTCTCAGGTAGCGACGAAGGTCAGTAGGGCCATCTTGGGGGCCAAGGCCTGTGCTGGCTAAAGAAGTACTGAGTTCTTATTTTCACATCCAATGAACTCTTCCCGACATTGACCGTATGTCTTCATGCTCCCACATGCTCTCAATCCGCCTATCTTCCTTTAGCTTCCATCACACTGTTCACCTGGTTCTCCCATCACTCTGAAGATCCCCTCACCTCATAAATGTTCCTAAGCCCAAGATTCCAACTCTTACTTTGAATGGCTTGCCGGCTATCTCCCCACAGATGTCTCTTACTATTTGAAATTGGACCCAACCAAGTCTTTTTTTTTTTTTTTACTATTTTATTTATTTATTCATGAGAGACACACACAGAGAGGCAGAGACACAGGCAGAGGGAGACGCAGGCTCCCCGCAGGGAGCCCGATGTGGGACTCGATCCCTGGACCTGGGATCATGACCTGAGCCAAACGCAGATGCTCAACCACTAAGCCACCCAGGTGCCCCGACCCAACCAAGTCTTGACAAGGTCATGGCGCAACGGGAACTCTTATATGTTGCTGGTGGGGATATAAGTTGGTCTGACTTCTTCGAAAAACTATATTTGGCAGCTTACACTAAGGTGGAACATACACGTGCCCTATGACCCAGCAATTCTACTCGTATTTACCCACCAGAAATGCATACATATGTTCTCCAACTAACAAAAACCTACTAGATTACCCACAGCAGCAGTATTTGTATAAACTCCAAACTGGAAACACTCATATGCCCATCAAGAGTAGAATGGATATGGGTGCCTGGGTAGCTTAGTAGGTTAAGCATCAGACTTTTGATTTTGGCTCAGGTCATGATCTCAGGGTCATGAGACTGAGCCCTGCATTGGGCTCCGTACTGGGCATGGAGCCTGCTTAAGATTCTCTCTCTCTCTCTCTCTCTCTCTCTCTCTCCCCCTCTGCCCCCCACATGACCCTCTTCTCTCAAAAAAAGAAAAAAAAGAGTAGAATGGCTACAAGTAGCAAATTCACACTAGTGGAAAACTAAACTGCAATGAAAGTGGATGACCTGTAACTCCATGCTACAACACAGCTGCATCTCACAAACAATGCAGAGTGGAAAGTCAGATGCTAAAATGGACACGCTGTACCAATCCATTTGAAATGTACAGAAGCAGGCAAAAGTGATCTATGCCATTAGACGTTAGGGTCTTGGTCACATTTGGAGCAGGGAGGAAGCCAGGAAGGCTCTCTGGGGGGCTGGAGACGTTCCGTTGCTTGCTTGGAGTGCTGGTTACATGGGTGTGCTCAGTCGTGAAAATTCACTCAGCTATACACTCACCTGTACTTTCCTGTAGGTTTGTCATACTTAAATCCTAGTACGTATGCTATACTTCAATAGAAAGGTTTTTTAAAAACCGAACTCATTACATCCTTCCTCAAATTGTTCTCCTTTATTTCTTATCCACTGAATGGCTTTGCCATCCACTTAGCATCCCATCCAGAGATTTGGGGCTTGTCTTAGTCACCTTTTTCCCTAAACTCCCACACCCAGTGTCAAGCAGGGGCCTTTTGCCTCTCCGTGGCCACCCATTGCTTCCTGCGTGAGGCCCCCACTCCCCCCCCATACACTCCCTGCTGAAGAGAGATCTTGCCTCGTCCACCCTTTGTGCTGCCAATGGAATGGGATGCACACCTGATTGTGTCACTTTCTTGCTGCGGACCCTTTGGTGGGTCTTCATGGCAAGGCTCCAGGTTCCATCTCCCATTTATTAGTTGTATGGCCATGTCTCTCCATTTCCTCATACCTAAAATGGGTATCCTAATGTGTCTCTCAAGGGGTTGCCATGATCTAGCTCCCGCCTGCCTCTCCAAACTGATCTTTCTCACTCCCTACTACTTGCAATTCATCAGGTGTGCCAGGCTGTTTCATGCCTCCATGCATGTCTGTATGGTTTCTTGGCTTTAAAATTTCTTCCAGTTTTTCTGCCTGCTTATCCCCTTCCCCGTGCAGAGGACTTTTTCTGGCCCCCATGCACAACTCACTGCTCGCTCTAGCCTTTGTGTTCCACCTCTTTCTTGTGCACCGGTGTATCTAAGCACCTGTACAATTATAGAAGTTGATAGAAAAGATACCTGATGATGACTGGTCCCAAAGTATTTATTCTTTAAGTAATATTCATTGAGTATGTACTGTATTCCAGGCCCGGCTTTAGGTACTGGGGATATAGATAGCAGTTAACTAAATAGGAAAGGGATCCGCCTTCTTTTTTTTTTTTTTTTAAAGATTTTATTTATTTATTCATGAGAGACACAGAGAGAGAGAGAGAGGCAGAGACACAGGCAGAGGGAGAAACAGGATCCATGCAGGAAGCCCAATGTGGGACTCGATCCTGGGTCTCCAGGATCAGGCCCTGGGCTCAAGGTGGCGCTAAACCGCTGAGCCACCCGGGCTGCCCCAGGGATCCGCCTTCTTAGGGTATGTGCAGTCTAGGCTGGGGGTGGTAAGGGTTAATGAATGAATGAATAAAATATCCTGTAGTGAGAAGGTGATGTTGGAGTGAAGACCTGAAAGAGGTGAGAGACCTGTGAGCAAAGCATTCTGGCCAGGGGGAATAGCAAGTGTCAAGACCCTGAGGTGGGTGGTACTGGGTGGGTACTGGGTGGGTACTTGGTGTGCTCTAGACAGAGCAAGGAGACTCTGGAGCTGGAGCTGGTGAATAAAAGAGTTTTAGGAGGTGAAGGGATAAAGTGCGGGCTATGGGAGACCATCCGTGCAGGGCCTTGTGGGCACATGAGGACTTTGGCATTTAGCCTGAGTAGGCCTTTGCAGGGGTTCGAGGAGAAGAGGGACAAGTCAGGTGAGGGCTTGGAAGGCTCCCTCTGGCTGCTGAGTGTAGACTGAATTGCCTGGGGCAAGCTGGAAGCAGAGAGCCTAGTGGGGTGAGCGCAGTCATCCAGAGGGGAGACGGTATGGCTTGGCCCAGCTGGTGGCAGTGGAGGTGATGAGAAGTAGCTGGATTCTGACCATCTTTGGAAGGTAGCCAATGGTACTTGCTGACAGATGACATGGGTGTGAGAGAGAGGTTCAAGGCCTGAGGGACTGGGAGGATAGAGCTGCCATTTACTGGCAGAGGGGAAGGTTCCAGGAGGAACAGAGATGGCAAGGCATGGAGTGAAGATGTTCTGTTCCCGAGGCCTATAGGACATGCGAGTGTTGAGGTTGAGTGGGCACTTGGCTGGAAGGTCCTGGAGCTCAGACAGACTGAGGGTTGCCCTGTGCTCCTTGCAGTGGATGCACACGTGAACCCATAGCTACAGTCCTGCAGCTGCTCCCCTCAAAACGGCAGAGGAGCAATTGGCATGTAGTTAGTTGACTTGGGGGTCGTTAATCCAGGAGGCCCTTGGCTCCATCCCATCTTCAAGAAGCAAAAAGGCCCTGTCCGTTGGACAAATGTCAATTGTGCCAAGATCCTTTGGGGGGGGGGGGGCGGGTTCAAAGGAAAGCATGTGGGTCACTGACAGTGTGGCCTTAATAACTAAATCAGTTTGGCCCAGAGGCTGTGTCTGTCACTGAGGAGGGCTTATGCAGCCGCAACTGAGCAAACCCAGAGATCAAATGAGACCCTCTAATTGCTGCGGACTTCGGGCCTTTCCCTGTCCCCCACCCACCTGTGGCTGCAGGTGGAAGATCTGCGGAAACAAGGCAGAAGGCAAAAAGGGCAGAGGGGTGGGGGTGGGGGTGCTCTGCCACTGTGCCCAGGTGGAGAGGAAGAGTCCTGAGAGGAAGGCCGGCTTTCAGAACCACTGCCTGTGTTCAGTCAGATGTTGGGCAGGTTTCTGATGTTTATTCCCTCCCAGGCTCCTCTCTCCAGAAAATGTTCGTCTATAGGCAGCCTGGGGATCTGAGGCACCAGATCCTTATGGAAATGAGCAGAGAGGGAAGGAACAACAAGCATTTTACAGGAAAAGCTGTCACCAAGGAGCAGCAACATGGCTGTACAGTCCCCGAAATCATTTAATCACCAAAAAGCTGGCGAGCAAAAGCAAAAGCGTGTTTGAGTACAACATCTTATAATACCAGAAAATAAAATTGTTGCAGTGAGCGAGAGAAAACAGGTCAGCCTTTAAAGGAAAAAAGAAGAAAAAAGATTTTGATTGTGTGGTTGCATATTTTTCTCCCTCCGTGGAATGTTTTTGAGATTTCTCCCCGCGTTATAGGGTTCCACTAGAGTGTCCGAGATGCCTCCCACTCGCCGATCTTAGGTTTATGCAACATGGGCCCATTCTGCCCTTTTGCCCAAAGGGCCACTCCGTGGGGAAACCCTTGTTACCACAGCAAGAAAAGTCCGGGCTTTTGCTGTGTCTCAAAATGTACCTTGCAAGCTCAAGAGGAAGAGTGGGCATTAGACACACATAAGGTAGACCCTTTGAGTCTTTTTGATGGATGTCACTAAATACAGAGCTCTCCTTCCCATGGAAACAGATGAAGCTGAGGAGGAAAGCATAAAATTATGAATGACAAAAGCTGTCAGTAAGTAGCTTCCTTGAAAAACAAGAGTAAGACACAGGAAGAAAGCAGGCTGCAATGATGTCCCTCTGGAAGAAGAAGAAAGAAGGAAACTGTCCTGGTGTGAAAATGTTGCTATTTATGGCTACAAGCATATTCCTGGGTAAATCTGTTATCTGTACATGCTTCAACACAGATGAATCTCAAAAACATATGCTAAGTGAAAGATAAAAGACCATATGTTGTATGATTCCATTTAAATGTAATGTTCGGAATAGACAAATTTATGGAGACAGAAGGTAGATGGGTGGTTGCCTGGGGCTAGGGAGAGGGGGAAACGGGCTTAATGTCTACCGGTCTCTTTAGGGGAGGGGGTGATGAAAATGTTCTAAAATTGGATTGTGTGCTCCACAATCTATAAATATACTAAAAACCATTGAATCACACACTTTAAATGGGTGAATCTAATGCTATGTAAATTATATCTCAATAAGCTGCTTTAAAAAATCTGCTGTCTCTGATGGTTGACACGCCTGCTAAGGAGACACACCTGTAAGATGAGGCTTGGGTTTGTTTTTTTTTTTTAATATATATAATAAATATGACCAAGGAATGGACCTCTTTATTTTACTAAGGTAGATTTTTTAAAAAAATCATCATTTGCATTGAATCCAAAATGTACAATATAAGATAAATAGAAGCCTGCCTCCGTTATCAGACGTAGATAGTGCTTTACAATGACCATTTGTGCATTCCCAAGTGAATCTTCATCTGACGCGTGAGTGGAGTCAATCCATTTATCTTATTTCACTGTAATAAGGAGCTACTGCCACCATGGAACAGAAACAGTGAAGAGTAAATTAGACAAAGAACCTTTGTCTTCAGGTTCCCAGTCGTGCAATAGAAAACATTTTCCCCCTGTGCGTTGGCCTTGATTCTCTATCTGGATGGGAAGCTGATGAAGTGCAGCAACCACATCCTGTATTCATGTGTTTTTCCCTCTGTCTCTTAAGCAGGGATCCCTCTAGCTCAGGGTAGAGCACACATAGGTCACAAGCCACACTGACCATAAAATGGTCACTGGACCACCCAGTGGACCATATTCCAGTCTACCTAGCCAGGTGGAAATTTCTGGAGCTCCTCAAACATGAACACAGATCGGTAAGCAATAGAACAGGAAAGAGTGCTGTGCTCTGTGCCTCCTGACAGCGTGTCTTTTATTACAAATATCTCCCGAATGGGCAGGTTTAATATAAAAATGGGTTGGTAAACTTTTCAAGGGCTTCTTCCTATTTGAGGGTCACAGAGCACAGTTAGACTCAGCACTGTGAAAGCAATGAAGATTTGTCCTGCGTGTCAAGTTCTTATGGGTCCTGGGCCACAGCAGCAACCAAGGGACAGAGTCTGTAACAAACCGACCAAAAATGAGCGGAAGGATGGATGCACGGACGGGTGGATGGATGAATCTCAATGCCGATCACACAGAAGAGAAATCTGAGGATGAGGCCTATGGATAGCAGAGAACCAGGAGTATTGGACTCTAAGCCTTGAAAGGCTCTGTTTAGATTTTCTTGCTGAGGAAAGGGCAAGGAATAAAGGAAAAACAACACAACACCCAAAGCACCTTAAAGTATTGAGAGTTACTGGGCCAAGCCGCCGACTCTTACTTGCAGTGAGGACAAAACCAGACAGCTGGTCTCAATGATCCCTACTTAGGAATGTATTTGGGTTTGCAAAATGACCTTGGGATTACAGTCATACAGATCTTTCCAAATACCGAGAAAGGTGACGAAATACCAAAAGTCATGAGGTTGGGGGATCATGAAATCACTACTCTACCAATAATGTCTAATGAGAGGGCAGAGAGGAACGTGATTTAAAGCAGGGCTTCTGACTCTACTTGTGTGAGTGGTGTCATGTCCATCCACCAGGTCATTTGCAGAATGGAGAGGCCTCCACCTTCCTGCCCTCCTTACTTATTTCCTGTGACACGCTTAAATACACGATCACCCCGGAGAAGACACTCAACTAATTTCTAATGTTCAGAATGAACCTAAAAAGGAATTCTGAGCTAACAGGTCCTTGAGAGTCAAGAGAGGCATGAAGGACTATCAGTTCAAATTAAGAGAGAATTTAAAAGCTGAATTGGGTGATATTTCAGAGATTTGTTTTTAATTTCCCCTTATTTAAGCGTATTACTCCTGCCAGGGCCATATTTAGAAATTTAAAAATGATTGAGTGTCTAGAGTCTTTGGAGATTCCTGACTCTCAGTTGGATTATGCTTTCTATTAGAGTCCGATGGTAGTCGGCGTGTTATGCTAATCCATATTTAAACTGGAGTGACCTCACGTCCCGATTTGCCCGGGACAGTCCTGGTTTACGCCTGTTGTCCAGCAGAATTATTAATAGCATCCTCTCCCACTCTCAATAGTGTCCTAGTTTGGAAGATTAAATTCTACAGTCATTCTAACTCTGACTCCTAAAAGTTTTCAAGGGTACACCACACTTTCTTATTAGTGGTTGCAATCTATAGCTAGTTTCGGCAGTTTCTGAGACCCTTCCTTCTCTCTGTCCCATTTTAAGCATCCTTTGAACTTTAGAAGGCTCCTCAGAGAACCGGAAAGCCAGCGGTGAAACTAAGAGAACCACGACCACATAAAGACAACTGTTGTTCATTAACAATGCACCTTGACCAATTAGCGTGCCTTGCTAATTAATGATACAGTGATATTTTAATTATTCAGGTTGCATTTCTGTGAATCGGCAAAATTACGAATTCAGCTGCACTATTCAGTATTTGATAAATGCTAATGGTTGCCCAGCACATACCTTCATAGCCGAAGAGAAGTAAAACCAAGAAGCCTTCTATCTTGCGGGGCATTCTCCCCTTGTCCTTGGCCGCAGCTCTACCTTATCCAAGTGGAGAGCTTCTCCAGGAGCAGGGGCTTAACTTGAGCACTGGCCTCATTAAGCATCTTATTCCATTTAGTTCTTAGGGCTTTGGCTGAGCCCTACGAAGTTAACCCACATAGTTACCTGCCTCGACGAGGAAGTCTCAGAGAAGAATCTAATGTCAACTGAGGTCAGTTTAGCAAAGGAAGATACTGGGTTTCATGCTTTCTTTATTTTTAGAAAAGATTTGTCTATTTGAGAGAGAGAGAGAGAGAGAGAGAGAGAGAGAGAGAATGAGAGTGGGCTAGCAGGGGGAGGGACAGACTCCCAAGCAGACTCCCCAATGAGCAGGGATCCAGGTGAGGGGCTCAAGCCCACCACCTGAGATCCTGACATGAGCAGGAACCAAGAGTTGGTCCTTTGGCCCACTGAGCCACCCAGGCGACCCTATACTAGCTTTAAATTGAAGGGAAGCAGTAGAGGGCAAGAGAAACTACAATCAGAAGACCCAGCTCCTAATCCTTTCTTTGCTATCATCTTCTCGGGGGTGACCTTGAGCAATTTCCTGCCAAACAAGCACTAACATCGTCAAATTCTATGAAAGCGACACGCATCCCCTTCTTAGAAAGCGACTTGGCATCGTGTTCATCCCTATTCACTCAGGAAAATACTCAGTTTGGGAGAAGGAGACAGTTACACACAAAGACGTCCCTTGCTTTGTTATTTATAACAAAAAATAGGAAACAATCCACATGGCCAAGGTCAGGGGGGTCAGCACAGGAGGTAGAGTTAAGAGCACTGATCCCCAGGCCAGACTGGGTGCGAATCTCAGCTCAGCCACTTGTTATGTGGCCTTAGACAAGTTGCTCGAGGTCTCTGTGTTTCAACTTTCTCAGCTATAAGATGATGATAATAATGCCTAAGTCATAGAGTTAGTTTGAGGGTCAAGTGGGATGATTACCCAAAACAGTGCTAGACAGAATTAGTTGTTATTATTGTTCAGCCATTTATAATAAAGGGGGCGAAAAGGGGAGTTGTTTAATGAGCACAGAGTTTCAGCTTTGCAAGATGAAAAAGTTCTGGAGACCTTTTTCACAACAATGCGAATATGCTTAGCATTACTGAAGTGTGCACTGAAACACGGGTAGGATGATAAAAAAAATCAAACGAGTTAGTGAAACGATTGTGATAACAGGGACAATCGTGTGTTATACTCTTGATTTAGAAAAGGATGCAAATGTACACATCGTAGGAGGCAAACGATGTGGCAAATGCGGAGAGGGATACCGGGTTTCGCCTTCCCTTTTTGGTTTTGGGCCACCACTGTTGCACCGCAACCCCCAGGGGCCCACCTTCCCTTCGTTCTTCTTGTCAAAGATGAAAAAGGCCAATATAAAAAGATAATGACCCCCTGACACCCCCCCCCCCAGAAAGTGTAATGGACTATAAAGAGGGACAAAAAGGAGCTAGAGGAACGCTCAGTCAGTATTTACTGGGTGTCTCCAAGCCTGACATTTGTTCTCTGCCGTGTATGGATTCGTCATTACACGAGGAAGGTCTATTCAACAAGCTCTACCTCTGTATTAAAAAGAAAAGGACTATTTTCCCTCGCTCTGCATTTTAGAGTTTAATGAAAAATTAACCCTTTAATAATAATAATAAATGTGTAATAATTCAACCGCAGGCCAAGTGCTTTCGCCCTGCCTATTTCAGTTGGAGGCTTTGAGGGGCAGGTCTGCGCTGGCCACAGGGGAAGGCTCCGCCAAGGTGGTCTTGCTTCCCGGGAGCTCCGGGTTTTCCCAGGCCGCCTGGGCCTGGGGCGGGGCGGGGCCGTCCTGGGGACCACGACACGACCAGGCGCCCACTTCTGCTGTTGCTGATGGGAGGAGAGGGTTATTTGTCATCATGCTTCTGCGATAAAAAAACATGCCCCCCTGGGGCACCTGGGTGGCTCAGTGGTTAAGCATCTGCCTTGGACTCAGGTCCTGATCCCAGGGTTCTGGGATCGAGTCCCATATCAGGCTCCTTGCAGGGAGCCTGCTTGTCCCTCTGCCTCTCTCTGTGTCTCTCATGAATAAATAAATAAAATCTTAAAAAAAGAAAAATACGCCCCCCCAAAAAAAAATTAAAAATAAAGAAAAAAATTTAAATGTCCCCCAATAGAAAAGTAAAGCAAATACTATTTTTAAAGGAGAAAGAAAAATACTGTCTTGCTTTTCATCTTCTTGCCCATACACTCAAAGAACACTGAAAGTTGAAAGAAAAAAACCTTAGACCCATGGTTCCACTGGGGCTCGAACCCAGGACCTTCTGCGTGTAAAGCAGACGTGATAACCACTACACTATGGAACCCTGACGGTAGCTTGCTGCATCATTAGCCTATTCATAGTCTCATGTCCGAACCAGCGCCTGCGCTCAAGCCCCGCCTCTCGTCCGTAGCTCCTCCTCCACCGTGGCCCCGCCCCCCGCGAGATCCGGCGTTCGCGGCCGAGTCCCCGGCTCCGGCTGTGGCGTCTGGGCTGTTCGCTCCACCCGCGTGACCGCGGCGAGCGCAGGGCCGGGGGTCCCCTCCTGAGGGCCGCCCCGCTAGTCACCGGTCCCAAACTTTCTCTCAGCTGCGAGGTCGGCGGGACCTGCCCAGCGGGCGGAGGCGGACGGTGCGGCGGCGACTCCCGCTGCGGGACCCGCGCCTTCCCGGCTTCTCCCGGGAAACAGTCCGCTTCCGGCAGCCGCGGGGGCCCCGAGTCCGCGCGGGACGGACGGCGGCGCGGGCTTTGGGTGGGGCCGCGGGTCGCCTCCACCCTGGCTTCTCGGTTGGAAGGGGCCTCGGGTTGGTGGCCCCTGGCCCGACGACCGAGGCCCCCAGTGCCCCCCGCCATTTTGTCAGCACTGCTCCCCGCCGGACCCCCCGCCCCCGCCCACAGGCCGGCCTGGGCGGGGTGGGAAGGGCGGTGTAGACGGACCACCCTTGAAGGTGCGGGTTGGGGGTGATGAAGCGGGACCCGCTGCGAGGTTGGAGGGGCCCAGTGCAAAGTGAAAATGCCAGGCTCCTGGCTGGTGAGCCACTGCGAACTCCCAAACGGTGACAAGCCGGGCATTAAACCCAGCGCCGGCCCTGCGACTGCACAGGTCGTGGCCCATGAACCTGTCGCTGTGCTTCCAGGACTGTGGGCCCGAGAAGGTGCTGGAAACTTCCACCACGAAGGGCTCTTGTGTGCTCTCGCTTCTTAGTTTTCATTGTCAGTGTCCTTTGCCCTCTTCAGTGCTTTTGGATGGATCCTCCTCACCGTCCTAGGATTGCTCATATCCTCAAGCTTGAAAGCCCCTGAAAACCATCTGGGGGCGGCATCTTAGGTGCCGAGTCCAACAGGGCTGAAGGCTGGGCCTGCCGTTTTCCCTGGCGTCTTCCTCTGAAGCTGGCGGGATGATGGAGCCCGTTCGGCCAGTTCCTGTCTTCCTGGGCAGACCCCTGGAAGAAGCAGGTGGGTGGGAGGCGCAGGAATCTGGGGTATAATCTGGAGTCTATCCTGCCCTGGCTTCTCATTAGCTGCGTGCTCTTCAGTTCACCTCCCAAGCGTCAGCGTCCTCCTTTGTGAAATGCTGGGTTGGACTGGACACCCCCACTTCCCCTCTGGGTCTAAATGTTCTCCCTACTTTGCAGGTGGGAAAATCGAGGCAGTCACCTGCCATGTATGTGTTCCCCAGGAACAGAGGCAGGCCTGCAGCTCGGGAGTAAATACTGGAGTAAATACTGAAGTCTATGATTTAGGAACTTCCAAGGGGAGAATCTAGAGTAGGTTTTAAGCTTACTAAAGCTGAAGTTGGTATTTTTACCGATATTCCAAAGAGTACAAGATCCTACATCCTAGCGAGCCCCTGTTATATTCACCAGGCCGCTGCAGAATGCCTTTTTGTTGACGCCTTTGACGAAGCCTCTTGAGCGCTTGGCACAGATGACCGTGGGTGGACGGATTCACGAAGGCTCACTGTTCCCTGCCAGTCCATGAACCGTCCTGACTCCCAGGATGCCCGATGATAAGTATATCCCACCTCTTTGCTAACCTCTGTCCGCACAGGACAAGGCTGCCACGAATTGGGCCTGAAATTCCACTCCCACTTGTAGTTTGGTTTTTTTCTTTAGGGAATGCTCTGCGCGTCCTCCAGCCTTCCGTCGGCCCTTGCTCGGAAGGATGGGTTCCCTGACAAGGAGGGAGACTTTTGTTCCACTGCCCACTGTGCTCAGAGTGCAGTCACAGTCTATTGTTAGTCAAGTACAGGATGGTTTACAAAGCACTTTGGTATACACTCCTCTGAGGTAGCCTCGGTGAGTATTACTGTCTTCATGTTTCAGCTGAAGAAGTTAAAGCCAACCAGAGAGTTTGAGTGCCTTGCCTGCCACCACTCTGCCAGTGACTGGCAGGGCTGGGCTTCTACTCAGTCTCCTGATAGCTAAGTGATTCCAAGAGTTCCAAGAGGCCCATGTCCTTAAAGGCTACGCATTGTTGCCCTAAGAGTGCCATTGTTCTCTTTTAATATTTCATATGTACTCAGGGAGGAAATGGATACCTTTTATTTTTTTTCCTTTGTCATCTTGTTTCATTTTAAGGTTTATTTATTTGAGAGAGAGAGAGAATCTTGAGCGGGCTCCGTGCAGAATGAGGAGCCTGACGGCAGGGCTCTTTCCCAAGATCCTGACACTGTGACCTGAGCACGGGGCTGGATCCCAGGACCCTGAGCCAAGTAACCAACTATCAGACGCTCAGCCCACTGAGCCATCAGTGCCCCTCCTTTGTCATTTTAAGATGAATTCCTCAAAAGCAGGAAGCCATTGGTGACTTTGACCTTGCAACTGTCAGCGTCGTGGATAGCCTTTGAGATGGCCACAACTCCGCCGTTCAGGCAGTCCAGTGAGACTTGTGAGGCCTGTCACCCCCCAGGTATGCCCATAAGCATCTGAAATCAGCAAACTAGTAGATAAGGACTAGAAAT